GAGTGTAATTATTTGTATGAGTCTTCAAGGGTTTTTTGTTTTTTGGCCTCATTCCCAATTACTTCAGGGACTCAGAGAGCTTCTGCTGAAGTGCCCGTGTAGAGTGAGTCTCTACAGCTCACCTGACACCAAGACACTAATAGTTTATCCCTTCCTCTACAACCTTCCCACCCCTACCCCCACCTTGGTAGAACAAGTAGTTTCCCAGTGCTTCTCATGCTGTTTCTCGGTTTTAGGTGTTATGTCCAAAAATTTCATCCAGTGGAAATGACATTGCCTAAGGAAGAAAGTAAGCTATTGGCGCTGCCATTTCAAATCGTGAATAGTGGCCCAGACACTGGAAAACTAACCCCCTCACATTTCTGTAATGCTTTGTGTTTAATCCTATGAGCAGATACCAACATATTCTATTACAACTGTCCTGAAGCCCTGAATGCTTAGTTTCATTCAGCTCGTGGTCTGATCTAACGCCTTTCTTAAATCCCTTGTGAAATCCTCCGTTTAGGTGTTTGTTTTCGTTAGCAGGCTGTGAATTAGGAATGGCTTGGTACTGGGAAATGCCACTGAGCATCTGGAGTGCGTTTCATAGCACCAACTCTGCTGTGCCGGAGCACAGACTGTCAGTTTAAATTTTGCAGTGCTGGTGAGATTTGTGTGTGAAGTGACAACCCAACAAACAGTGTTCTTTGTCTCTCTGCTGTGTGTGTGCAATTTTTTTTATAGCAGTTCCCTTACAATCTGCATGTGTGGAAAATGGAGAAAAGTTAGCATTAACCAAGGTAGAATGAAGAACATTAAATGATGGTATTGATAGAATTGTTAAAAAAAAAAAAAAAAAAAAAAAAAAAATCTTATTGTGATGCAGATTCATTATCTTGGCTTGAGGCTTTATGCCACGAGCTACTGGGAAAAGGGGAGAGACTTTTCTTTTCTGCTAAAGTGCCTCCCAGTTTCTGCAGATTAGCTGAATGTCTCTACAGAATTACTTTTTAAAGCAGACTTCCAGAAATGCACTTGAAGAGAGCATCAGTACATAGTTCAGTTCTTGTATTTTTGAGTACTTTCTAAAATGATGGGACGTTTTTTGTTTTTGTTTTTTGTTTTTTTTTTTTTAAGAAAAAATTATCTGAATATTTCCATTCCTTCCTCTAGACCAGGGGACCCCTGGCACGTGTGCCAAGCATGGCACGCAAGGCCATTTTGCTCAGCATGCCACCGCCAGCCTGGGCTCTAGGCAGCTGCTGCCAGCCACGAAGCCTGGGCTGTTCCCAGCAGGCAGATGGGCGGCTGCAAGCCCTGCTGTGGTTGGCAGCAGCTACCCAGAGCCTGGGCTGGCTTCAGCCAGGAGGCTGCAAACATCTGCTCCGGGCTCTGACATTAGCTCCCTACTGGTGGGTGCACGCGTGCCTCAGAGTGGACTTTGTCCAGTGGCCCAGGGGCTCAGGTCCTTGTGCCCACGCATCTGGTTCTGTGTGTCTGTCTGCCTCTGTCTGGTCCTGTGTGTCTGTGTGCACACACATGTCTGGTTCTGGATGTGTGTGTGCATGTGTCTGTTCTGGGTGTGTTCTGGTTGTGTGTGTGTGTGTGTCTGGTTCTCTCTCTGCTCTCCTTTCTCTC